GGGGAGGGGGGGAGGGAGGACGAGAGGAAGGGAGGAAGGGAGATTTCTGACAAGGAAAGTCAATGGGGAAGGTGGCATGAAGTTGGAAGTCACTCCCACACCCACTAGAAAAGGTGGGCAGTTAAAAAACACAGGGAAACCTGTATTTTTGTTAAACAGTGTCACTTTTCACTTACAGCTATAACACTGTCACCTATAAGTATATTATTAGGCACAAATAAGTAATTAGTTGTGTACCGTATATTAGATTTAACACATTAGAAGTGTATATTTGATATAATAAAGTACCCTTGTATAAATATCAAAAGAAAATGTTGAGCATCCTGGTCTGTGGTTTGTACCATGACTTAATAAGGACCCTCTCTCGCAGGTCTTTAGTAATTATGTATGTATGTATTTATTTACTTAATTTATATAGCCACCCATCTCACATATGTGACTCTGAGCAGCTCACAAAGTTAAAACACAAAAAACAATATAAAAAATAACCAAAATTATACAACAAAAATCATGAAAACACATTAAAAAATATTAAAAACATTAAAAAAACATAGTTTGTGAGAGTACAATCCAACTTACTAACAATATAAACATTTAGCAGGCTCCACACCATCACTACTCCCCAGGCAAGATGGAAAAGCCAAATCTTCAGGCCCTTCCTGAAGATGCCAATTTAAGTTCTTGGGAAATGATGTTCCAAAGGGCGGGTACCATGGCAGAAAAGGCTCTCTTCCTGGGTCCTGTCAGATGACATTTCTTAGTAGATGGGAACCGTAACATGCCTCTCCTGCTAATGGGATGGATAGATGTAACCAGGGAGAGGTGGTGCCTCAAACATCAAATATTTTTAGAAAGTTAAAAAAAAAAAGTTTACTACCATTTTTTCTGTAATTCAATTAAAAATCTGCATTGACTGCTTTTTTCATTTTTGGTTATTTTTCATATATGTTCTCTACAAAGGAATACATTTTTTTTTCAGAAAATACCTTAAACATGTATAGATCTCATGTGTGTGTGTGTGTGTGTTTGTGTGTGTGTTATAGATATATTGCTATACTGTTAAGCTTTCAGCATGCCAAATGCAAAACCTATGTCACCCATTGTTTTGTAGGTAAAAACAAATGCAAGACATTTTCACTACACAAACCTGTGCATTATGAAGAAGCTTAAAGCTAGTGGCCACAGAAGTGTATTTCTACTCAATTATGTTTCATAAACTTTACTGAAGTGAATGTATTATGCCTGCTTCTTCAATCATTACCTTTGACCATTTTTTTCTGTAGACTGGATAGTAAGTAGTATTTTACTATACTGCCTGCCTTTATGACCTTAGGTTAAATTTGAAAAAAAAAATATGGGAGCTGTAGGCTTGCTTTGAATTCTCATTGTTCCCATGGTGAAACTCTTAAAAATATTTTACTTTCTTTCGATAGAACATACCCAACTCAAAACATTCCAATGAAATAATCTGAGTGGCAATGTTTTATCCAAGCTGTCAAAAACAAAACAAAATTCTGTACCTCTTTGTTAATATATGTTTTTGCATTAAAAATAAGCAAGAACATGTGAGGACTGACCACTTCCACGTATGTTTTTCAACAATCAACATGGTAAATGCAGAGTTAAAATATGGCTACAGTAACTGCCTTAGTTGAAATATCCAGGACGTGTTAGAAATAAGGCACATACAGCTTGTATGTCCCTGACTAGGGTTCCACTTTGATATAAAATCTGATATTTCTCACACAAGAGCTGGGGTCTTCACTGGCTACCTGGGAGGCACCCAGAAAAAGATGCCAACCTCTAATCTAAAGCTGGAAACAGAGCTAAATAAAACTTGTTCTATAGGAATGCTAAAACAGAACAAAGAATACTGTAATTGTAGATTGTTATAATCCTGTTAATTATAGCTCATCAAATTCTCACTGCAGTTAACCACATTTTTCTCAAATTGCACAAATGGCAAAGTTAAAGCAAAACATATTATCAGTCCAAATCATTACTTGGCAAGCCTGCACTTTATCAAGGACAATATTTTGCTTCCTCTTTGAAGTAATTTATGATTATTTGTGATCGAGAGTTGTGGAGCAGCTGGGAGTAGGGAGGCAGTAAGGACCTCTTCAAACTTCTTAACCCCTCAAAGAAGAAAAAAG